CTGGAGGGCTGCAGGTCCCGAGTCCCACAGCCATGAGTTTCCCAGGCTGAGCCTGTCTGTGCCTCAGGACCCCGACCGTGCTGAGCCCCTCCTTGGGCTGAGGCTGGTGGGCAGAGGATGGTGGGCAAACAGCTGCCTGTGGGACTGCACAGGCACTGGCTGCCCACGCCGTGCTCCTCCTGCCCTTGCCTGTTTGGAGGCAGCGGTCCTGCTGCTTCCCCAGCGCAACTCTCCTGTTCCTGAGCAGGGATGGGGGACAGAGCGCGTCCTCTGCCAGCCCCTCTGCTGCCACCGGCTGAGACCCCTCTGTGCCTGGGCTCTTCCCGGCTGGGGGTGCAGCTTGGACTGGCTCTGCAGAGTGGCTGGGGAGAGGGTGGTGGTGGCAGGAAGGGTCCGTGGGGACCTCCGGCAGGTTGGGTCCCCAGCCAGCCCCAGCAAGACCTGGGGAGCAGCTGCCCAACCCAGAATCCCTGGGGGAGGCCAAGGCCGATCCTGTGCTGTGGGGTCTGTGGCAGCTTTGCTGCTGCCCTGCATGGTGATGGGTGGGGGTCAGGGGCTGCGCCCACAGCTCAGCCACGGTGCCAGTGTGGGGGCTGCGGGGCAGGGAGGGAGTCTGGCACCAGGAGCCCGGCTACAGCTTGGAGCGAGGGCACAAACGAGCCGCGGGCAGCGGGCCGGGCAGGGGCTGGCTGCTGACGAAGTGGAGGCACATGTGGGAAGAGCTGCCGTCTCTGTTATTTTTTGTGATTTCCAGAAAAGGCTGGAGGAGTGAATCTGAAAGTGAGAACTGGCGGCTGTGCTGGGGCAGGGGGAGCAGCAGAGCAGCAGCAGAGCTGGCTCCGTGCAGCAATGGGAAGGGTGGCATCCCCATGCCCTGGCTAGAGGACCTGCTCCATGCTTTCTTCTCAGGTTGGAAGTGAAGGGATCTGGAGGTCCAGTGGGCTGGGAGGATGCTGGAGAGGGACTGGGGGGGTACTGGATCTGTTCCTCCCTGCTGCAGGAGGTGACCCTTCCCCAGCGTCCCGCTGTCCTGTCCCCTCTGCGTGGGCCCCCTCCCCATCCCGTGCCAGCCCCAGGAGCTGTGCAGTGCCTCTGCATGGGGCTCCAGCTCCACAGCCCCTTGCTGGGTAGTGGCAGCTGATGCCGTGGGGAGTGGATGTGTCACTCGCTATCTTCTTGGCAGGGAACAAACGATGGTAGAAAAGCCCTGGCTGTGCCTGGCCTCCCACTGCCTCTGCTCAGGTGCTGCCGGCTGCTGCCCACTGCCCCCATCCCTGCTCACGCTGCCCAGCCCGGGATGGGGGCAGTGGGAAGAACCGCGACCTGGGGAAACTGGCTGTGGATGAGTCACGTCACAGCCAGGCTGCGGAACAGTCCCATCCCTTGGGTGAAACGTGGCCGCACTGCGCACCCCATGGCCGAGAGAGGGGTCCTGCTGCTGGGGCAGCAGCAGTCCTGCTCCCCTGGCTGGGCAGCAGAGCTGCAGTCGAGCTGAGATGCCTCAGCCCCAGAGGCTTTCAGTTCCTCTGTCTCCTGCTGTCACGAGCTGCTGGGCGGCGGGGACCCCCCAGCTGGGCCTCGGGGGATAACGGAAAGGGAGGGGCGGCTGATGGGCCCTTCCCCATCACCGTGGTTGGGAGCAGGTTGCTTGGTTGGGTAATGATGGCAGTCATGTGGCAGCTGAGATTAGGGCTACCGCACTTGCCAGGGCACTAATCGCGGGAGGTAATTGGCTGAAGAGGTGCTTAGCACATGCTGCAGAGCCGGGCAGGGTGCAGGCAGCTGGGTTTGGATGTGCCCTCTGTGCCCAGTTGGATGCCCATGCTCACCATTGACATCATGGTCGGCATTGGCATCGCGGTCGATGTGTCTTCCCTCTGCAGAGCCAGGCTATGTGGGTGCAATGTGTGTGGCAGCGCTGGCAAGAGCCCTGCCTGCTTGCTGCCAGCTTGGCGGCACAGTGTGCGGGATGCCCTGCTCCTGCCGGAGCCCTGCCCTGTGGCCAGGGATGCTCTGTGCTCCCACAGCCGTGGGTGCCGCATCCTCCTGCCTCCGCTGCTGACCTGCTTGTCACCTGATGGAGCTCTGTGGCTCCGGCTGCCTGCGCTGCTCCTGCCCGCACTGCTCCTGCCCACGCCTCGTGGACCACTTAGCAGGGCATCCCCAGGGTGGAAGCCTGCCTGGAAACCACCTGTGCAGTGGGCTGCCGGGGAGCCGTGGCTTTTCTCCACTGGTCCCCAGACCAGGGTGAGAAGCCAGCGGGCGGCTGCAGGCAGGAGGCCCCACACGGCTGCTGCCACTGGCTCGCTGGCTGCAAACTCTGGGAGCTCCTGGATCGGGGCGGCAGCAGCGCCTGCCGAGGTTCGCCTGTGCGGATGGTGAGAGCAGAGCCCGTCTGCCGCAGGGCACACTCGGGTCTGCGCCACGCATCTGCACCCCAAAGTGCTGCAGCAGGCACCCCCTCCCCTTGCCCAAGCCCTGGGTGATGGGGGGCTGCAGGGAGGGTGTTCAGGTTTTCGCCCTGAGCCGGGGGTGGCACGGGGCCCGGCGGGGCTGGTGCCGGAGGGGTGGGTCTGGCTGCCTGCGGTGGGCACAGCTGGAGGCAGGTCCCCGGGCGCTGGGTGCACACAGGCCCCCTGCCTGTGTTTCCTTTCCGGATGGATTTCCTGTTTTCAGCTGTGGGGCCCAGTGCGGAGCCGCCCGGGGTGGGGTGTGCCGGGGCGGGGAGCAGGTCCGCAGAGGTGCGGGGGTCCTGCCCAGGGCAGGAGGGGGCCGCTCCCTGGTGCCAGCCATCACCCCGTGGGGGGGGCCAGGGCTGGGGCTGCCCATCAGTGGGGTGCTCAAATTGCTGCTTGCAGGAAGCGTCTCGGTGGCGAGTCTGGGGCCCAGTGCGGAGCCGCCCGGGGTGGGGTGTGCCGGGGCGGGGAGCAGGTCCGCAGAGGTGCGGGGGTCCTGCCCAGGGCAGGAGGGGGCCGCTCCCTGGTGCCAGCCATCACCCCGTGGGGGGGGCCAGGGCTGGGGCTGCCCATCAGTGGGGTGCTCAAATTGCTGCTTGCAGGAAGCGTCTCGGTGGCGAGTCCTTCCCTGAGTGGCTGGCCCATGGCGTGGGCGGGGAGCAGGTCCGCAGAGGTGCGGGGGTCCTGCCCAGGGCAGGAGGGGGCCGCTCCCTGGTGCCAGCCATCACCCCGTGGGGGGGGCCAGGGCTGGGGCTGCCCATCAGTGGGGTGCTCAAATTGCTGCTTGCAGGAAGCGTCTCGGTGGCGAGTCCTTCCCTGAGTGGCTGGCCAATGGCGTGACCTGCCACTGAGCCCCCCGCTGACCAGGGCTGGCTGGGGTTCTGCACCCCAGCACGGTGGCCCCTGGCAGCCAGGCCCCCGGCTCAGCCCTGGAGGCGTTTGTCCCATGTGGATGGTGGGGTTCCAGGAGATGTCGTGCATCACCACCCCACTGTCCGGGGAGGGGGCAGCTGCTGCCAGCTTGGGGGCCCGGGAATTGTCTGAGCAGGGGACACCCGCCCCGGGAGCCGGCTGGCACGGAGGCAGGGTCCTGGCACTCGGCCGGCTCCCTGGAGCAATCTGGCAGTGAGAGGATGCAAACAGCTCCTGCATCTGAGCTGGGGGAACTAGCCCCCGTGTGAGGCTGAGTGGGGTCAGCCTTCGCCAGCAGGCAGCAAGGCTGCAGAGGAACGGTGCTGCTGCCCACCGACTGCCCCCTGCCTGGGAAGGCGTCTCCCTCTGGGCTGGCAGGATCCAGCCGGCTCTAGCGTGGGGCCAAGGGCTGGGGCTGGCCCCCCCTTCCCCAGGACATTGTGTCCCGGGCACCCCCGGGGGGCAGTTGGCTGGCCACCTGTGTGACCCATCCTGATTGCCCTGGGCCGGGGCTGCCTGGCCCCATGGAGGCAGATCCAGACCCTTTGGGGTCAGGCACGGGGACGTGCTTGCCCAGGCTGCCGGCCCGCTCTGCGGCAGCCCCACATGGGAGGTGTGGATGCTCTCGGGGTGCTGGGGGGGGACACCCCCTCGCCCCCAACCTGGGCAGCACCTGCCTCTGCCAGAGATACCACCAGATTAGAGGTGACTCACCATAATCTTGAAGAAGTGGATTAAATCTCCTGCTGCACTACTTAATGAAATCCATCCCATAATATGCTCCTGGCCCTGCTGTTCCCCCTCATCCCCTGCCCCCTCCAGCCCCTTGGCAGCAGGGACCCCCTTCCCCGCTGAGGGGCAGGGCTGGCGCAGGGGTACGGGCAGAGTGCAGGCATGGGGTGCAGGCAGCAGACCGCCCGTAGCCCCTGTGACCCCGTACAGGCAACAGCAGCCACAGGCTCTGCGGGACGGGGCCGTGGGCCGTGCTCATCCCCAGCGCGTGGCACTTGCAGGTGGCTGTCCTGCACCGCTCCCTGGCAGACAGAGTGGGGGGGTCTGGCTGGGGGTCCCCAGGAGCAGCTCTGCTTGCATCACCTCGGGGTGCCCCAGGCATCCTCGCACCCCACTGCCATGGTGCCTGGGGTCCATGCCCAGGGTGCAGGGGAAGGCGTGAGGGGCCATGGCGTGTGCCCCCTCTGCAGGGATGGGGCTGCTGCGGGCACAGGCTGGTCCTGCCGGGCGCCTGTTTTCCTCTGGTGTCCCCAGGCCAGGGAGATGGGGACCGTGTCTGGCTGCCTGTGCATGGCCGTGCCTCCAAGGGTGAGTGAGCAGTGGGGAAGGATCCGGCTCAGGGCTGGGAGCAGGAAGGAAGGAAGGAAAGCAGAGTTAAAATAAGTCAGGCAGCGAGCCGTGGGGGACGCCAGGGCTGGAGCTGACTCCCAGCCTCTGGGGAGAGGGTTGGACCGGGGCAGACTGGGCTTTGCATGGTGCTGGGGCACCCTGGGGTGCTGCACTATGCATCGGGGCTGGGGTGGGGAGACCATGCAGGCAGGAGGGTGCCGGGAGCTGGTGGGGCACACGCTGCCTGCCCAGTCCCTGACGGCTCTGCCCCTTCTCCCACCCTGGCAGGATGGCTCCCGTCAGCGGCCGCCGCAGAAGAAGAAGACCGTGTCCTTCAGCACCATGCCCAATGACCGCAAGATCAACAGCACAGCTGCCTGCATCTCCTTCATGCTGGAGGGCTGTGAGCTGAAGAAGGTGCGCTCCAACTCCCGCATGTACAGCCGCTTCTTCGTGCTGGACGCCGACATGCGCTCCGTGCGCTGGGAGCCCTCCAAGAAGGACTCAGAGAAGGCCAAGATCGAGATCAAGTCAGTCAAAGAGGTGCGTGTGGGCAAGAAGACGCCCGTCCTGCGCAGCAATGGCCTCTCCGACCAGTTCCCGGACGAGTGCGCCTTCTCCATTATCTACGGAGACAACTACGAGTCCCTGGATCTGGTGGCCAGCTCGGCCGATGTGGTGAGTGCCTGGGTGATGGGGCTCCGGTACCTGGTGTCCTATGGGAAGCACACTCCCGAGGCGCCCGGGACCGGCCACCCCAGCCTCCGGACCTCCTGGATCTCTTCCGTCTTCGACCTCGCCGACCTGGAGAAGTCTGGCCGCATCCCCGTGTCCCGGGCTGTGCAGCTGATCAAAGCGCTCAACCCAGGCATGAAGACCTCCACCATCGAGCTGAAGTTCAAGGAGCTGCAGAAGGCCAGTGAGCGTCCTGCTGCGGAGGTGGCCTGCGACCTCTTCGTGGAGGCCTACTGCGAGCTCTGCACCCGCCCCGAGATCTTTTTCCTGCTGGTGCAGTTTTCCAGCAACAAGGAGTACCTGGGTCTGAAGGACCTGCTGATGTTCCTGGAGGTGGAGCAGGGCATGGAGGGGGTGACGGAGGAGAAGTGCTTGGAGATTGTTGGCAAGTATGAGCCCTCCAAGGAGGGCCGGGAGAAGGGCTACCTGGCCATCGATGGCTTCACGCGCTACCTGCTCTCTGCTGACTGCTCCATCTTTGACCCGCAGCACCGCAAGGTGTGCCAGGACATGGCGCAGCCCCTGTCCCACTACTACATCAGCTCTGCCCACAGTGCCTGCCTGCTGGAGGACAACTTTTGGGGCCGCTCGGACATCAGCGGTTACATCAGCGCCCTGGGCCTGGGCTGCCGCAGCATCGAGCTGGTGCTGTGGGACGGCCCTGAGGGTGAGCCCGTGGTCTACACCAGCCCCTCGGCCGCCTCCTGCGTGCCCTTCCGCACCGTGGTGGGAATGATCGACCAGCACGCCTTCACCGCCTCCGCCTACCCCCTCATCCTCTGCCTGGTGGTGCGCTGCTCGGCCCCCCAGCAGCGCCTCGCCGCCCAGTGCCTGCGCAAGACGCTGGGGGAGAAGCTGTACCTGGAGCCCCCCAACCCTGCTGCATCCTACCTGCCCTCCCCGGAGCAGCTCAAGGGCCGCATCCTCATCAAGGGCAAGAAGCTGCCGCCCAGCTGCGAGGACAGTGAGGGGGAGGTGTCGGATGAGGAGGAAGGCTGGGAGCTGGCACGGCGGCTGGGTCAGGAAGACCGAGAGGCACCGGAGGGAGGTGGCCCACGGCGGGTGCGCCTCAGCCGGGAGCTCTCGGAGCTGGTGAGCCTCTGCCAGGCTGTCCCCTTCCAGGACTTTGAGAGCTCGCGGCGTGGGCAGCACTACTGGGAGATGTGCTCCTTCAGCGAGGTGGAGGCGGGACGCTTCGCCAACGAGTGCCCGGCCGAGCTGGTGAGCTACAACAAGCGGTTCCTCTCCCGCGTCTACCCCAGCCCCATGCGCATCGATGCCAGCAACATGAACCCCCAGGACTTCTGGAAGTGCGGCTGCCAGATGGTGGCCATGAACTACCAGACACCGGGGCTCATGATGGACCTGAACACAGGCTGGTTCCGGCAGAACGGGGCCTGCGGCTACGTCCTCCGCCCCGCCATCATGCGGGAGGAGGTTTCCTACTTCAGTGCCAATGCCAAGGACTCCTTGCCTGGGGTGCCCGCCCAGCTCCTGCACCTCAAGGTCATCAGTGGGCAGAACCTGCCCAAGCCCAAGGGCTCAGGGGCCAAGGGGGAGGTGGTGGAGCCCTACGTCTGCGCCGAGATCCATGGCATCCCAGCCGACTGCGCTGAGCACCGCACCAAGACGGCCCTGCAGAGCGGGGACAACCCCGTCTTTGACGAGAGCCTGGAGTTCCAGATCAACCTGCCGGAGCTCGCTGTCCTGCGCTTTGTCGTGCTGGACGACGACTACATTGGGGACGAGTTCATCGCACAGTATACCATCCCCTTTGAGTGCCTGCAGCCTGGCTACCGCCATGTCCCCCTCCAGTCTCTGGCTGGGGAGCCCCTGCCCCACGCCACCCTCTTTGTTCACGTGGCCATCACTGACCGCCGGGCCCCGGGCGGGGCGGGGGGCCGGAGCCCCCGCCGGGGGCTGGCGGGGCGCCGGGGCCGCCGGGTGCGGGAGTACACCTCCACCAAGGCCACCGGCATCAAGGCCATCGATGAGGTCTTCCGGACGGCCACCCAGCCGCTGCGGGAGGCCACTGACCTGCGGGAGAACGTGCAGGTACGGACGCTGCGGAGGCACTGGGGGACCTGGTTTCTGTGGGGGAGGATGGGGCCGGACCGTGAGCGGTGGGGAGCCTGGGCATCCCCCCTCTTCCTGGGGGATGTGGGTGAGGAGCCTCGTCTGGAGCAGAAAGCTGGGGGAAACGAGGATGTTCCCGGCAGGGGAGCTCCTGGGGGCACTCCCCGGCTGAGCCCCTGATGCCAGTCTCTGCCCACAGAACGCGCTGGTCTCCTTCAAGGAGCTGTGTGGGCTGACACCCGCCGCCAACATGAAGCAGTGCATCCTGACGGTGGCCGCGTGGCTGCTACACAGTGACAGCGCGCCCAGTGTCACCCTCAACCTGGCAGAGCAGTACCCTCCCATGGAGGCCCAGGGCCCCATCCCGGACCTGCTGCGCAAGGTCCTCACCGCCTACGAGACGGTAAGCACCGTCCTGCCAGGGCTTGGCTCCTCACGGGGATGTTCTGTGGGGCCAGCAGCACCAGGACCACCGCCCTTCCCAGGACGGGGGACCCCGAACTCACTGCACCCATCCCGGTGCAGGGGAAGGCTGGTGAGGGACTGCGTGGGGGGCTGCCCAGGGAGGAGTCTTGTTGAGGTGCAGGCTCACCCAGCTCGGTACGAGCCCTGGGACCCTGCAGCGCCTGTCCCCCTGCCTGCGCTGCCTGCACCCTGTGCCAGGGCCAGCTGGCGGGGCGTCCTGCGGTCCCGCCTGGCGGGAGAAATCCCATTAATAGCCGCAGCCGGAGCCGCTTCCTTCCTTTGTGTTGGAGGGGGACCTGGCCGCCGGCCAGGCGCTGGTCACACCGCACCTGGCTGCACGTGGTCGGGCGAGGAGGGCCAGACCCCAGCCACCGCACTGGGGCAAGGGGCAGCCCCTGCCTGAGCCCCTTCTCCCCATCCACTCTGCCGGGGGGTGCGTGGGGCCGGGGGCTGCCCAGCTCCTCACACCGCCCCTCTCCCCAGATGATCCAGACCAGCCGGACGCTGATCGAGTCCGCCGATGCAGTGTACGGCAAGCTCATCCAGGCACAGCAGGCAGGTGGGTCCTGGGAGGGCAGGCCCAGCCCCGACGCTGCTCTGTGCTGCAAACCCGGGCATATCCCTGGGGCGCCGGGTGCAGGGGTGCCGTACCTCTGCGCTGGGCTGGGGGCACGTGTCCCCGCAGGGCTCGGTTCAGGGTGTCTGGCACCAGGGTCTGGACCTGGGCACAGGCACAGCCAAGCGTGCTGGCACTTTTGGCCATGAGCTTGCATGCCTGCGATGCGCAGCGGAGGAGGAGGGGTGCATGGCTGCACCCCGGGTGGGTGCGTGCCGGGGCCGGAGTTCAGCGGCAGAGCAGCCGGGGCCGGCCAGCGGTGGGAGAGCAATTTCCGGCTGGGGTGGCCCTGAGCCCGGCTTTGCGGTTTTCCCATGTCCTGGGCAGCACAGGGTGGGCGCGGGAGGCTGCCTGGTGCTGGGTGCCGACGGGGTGCTGGGGCGCACGGCCACCTGCGCCAGGGCAGGGTGTTGGGGTGGGTGGGCTGCAGGGGCTGTGCGGGAGGGAGGGGAGAGAGGGAGGGGAGTGGAGGAGGCTGATGAGGAAGCGGGGAAGAGTCATTAGCTGCCAAACGCCAGAATATAATTAGCACCAGAAATAACAGACTGGGGCTGATGGTAGAAGTGGCAACTGAATGTTACGACTTCCAAGACACATGGCTGAACCCACACAGGCAGGTGCTGCCTGTCCTCCCGGTCCTCCCTCCCCATCCTGCCCCCACCCCAGCGGCTGCCCGGGACCCCCGGCCCCGCTCC